GTTCACGTGGGTTTTCTATAATTAACCCTTAATTCTAGCCTCATCATTTTGATAGCTAAGTTTCCTGCGAAATTATTTTCTTTGTTATGATCGCTAAATTTATGATTTTTTTTTTGTTTCGATAGCAGCTAAGTTCATGATTTGAAAGGGAATGATAATCTTATTAGAACAAAAGACTATGCGAGAATATCTCTACCACAATTATTACCAAAATACCCTGGTTGTTATTTTCATGTGTGGATCAGAACGCCCCACATTGTGCAGGGCGTTCTAATAAAAATCACATTCTCATTGTAAACCCGAGATAATTCGTGGCTTATTAAGAAATTTGAAATAGTTCCCTGTCACGAAGGTTTCTGTGCTAAATCAAAATTTAAACTTAAAGTTGCATGCTAACACAAATTAGTGCTTGTGGCATTTGCCATTTTAGGCATCAGTTGGCGTATATAAGTAATACCCTCAAACATTTAAGTTAACTCGTCCTTGTTAACAATTATTAAGAAAAACAAAACTAACAAGCAAAGACACAGGTGCAAGCCCATAAACAATTGCACGCCAGCTCCTAATGTTTGCAAAAATAGTCTCCAAATTATGGATCCTTCAGGTCTTCAATTCGATGGTAATTGGCCATGAACTAATCAGCCTAATCTTTACCTTCAATTCTAATTTTAACGGCTGAGTTGATGTCATATCAGAAAGCTCCTCTTTTAACTTTGGACAGTTATCGGAAAACTCATCTTAACTTTCAAAATATCATAAAACCCCCATTGAGTTTAGAGATTATCACAAACTCTGCGTGGCTTTTGCGATAAAATCTCAAGGTTAAAGAGGGTTTCTGATAACCCCAACTCTAAGGGGGTTCTTTGACACATTGGAGGTTTTGGGTCCTACAAAAGATCATCTTAGCTCTTGAAATTTAGATAGACAGCAAAAATTTATAAATTTTTTAATAATCTTATCTAGAATTGAATCTAAGATCGTGAGAATTGTATTAGAACCTTTTAGCTGTCCGATTCAGCCATGGTGAATTACAATATTTAGATTATCTCCAATTACCATATAATTATCTGAATCCGAAAATTAAATGGCAAAGACGGCAACCTCCTCGTCCGTCTCAAATCTAACCATCTCCTCCCCTTCAAGCGTCACCCAGGCTTCTATCCCCTCACCGCCACCAACTGCCCCGCATCTCCTCGTCAGCGTAATCAAATTCCTCATAAGCGGCCCACCGATTCCCATCCAAATGGGCTTTCCCCATCCAAAATCGGCCTCATAGAAAGAAAACCGGGTCCAGCTAGAAAACCAATAGGTATCCCAATAATCCCCGATCTCTGCCCTAATTTCCTTTATCGTCTCGGCGGTGAACGGCCACCCGTCCTCTTCTCGGTACTTCCTCAGTTTCTCGCCGTCGATCTCTAATATAGCTTTGTTGACTTTCTCCTCGAACTTCGACTTCGATTCTCCGTCGGCG